GTATGTTATGTGTCATTTGTAGTTAGTTAGAACCTCACTTGTTCAATTATATGTATTGGATTGTTATTGGTTAGGAGCTGATTATGGATCTAAATGATTTGAAGGATGAGAGGGACAAAATTCCAAAGGTAGAAATTTGTACAACATCTGACCCGCTTCCAGAATTGAGGCTTTTGTCTAGGCCAATTGTGGTGCCTGTATCGAGGCCATGTGAGGTTGAAGACAAACGAAAAGATCTCCCAATAGTCATGATGGAGCAAGAGATTATGGAAGCTATAAATGAGAACCCCATAGTTATTATATGTGGAGAGACTGGTTGTGGCAAAACAACTCAAGTTCCTCAGGTTTTTTTTATATTTGTTATTCATGGTTGACTTTTAATGACTCTTCTTTTAGAGGCGTTTTAATTTATCAGTTTTTCTTGCAAGCTTACATTTTCACAAATTTTCCTTTTTCTTACAATCTACAGTTTCTGTATGAAGCTGGCTTTGGTTCATTTCAATCTAGTCACCAGAGAGGTACCATTGGGGTGACTCAACCTCGGCGTGTTGCTGTGCTTGCCACTGCTAAGCGTGTTGCATATGAGCTTGGTGTTCATCTAGGCAAAGAGGTTGGCTTTCAAGTAAGATATGACAAGAAAATTGGAGGTAGTAGCTCAATCAAGTTCATGACTGATGGAATTTTACTTCGCGAAGTTCAGGTATTCCTTTTAAGATGTGATTTCCATTTTGACTTTCGTGTTTAATGTGACTGAATCTCCTATTGTCATGCTTACAATTAATGTGGTTTTATCAATTTATTGACATGTTAGTTTCGATCCACCTCTAGCTTCTTTATCTGTCACATTTGTGTAGACATAAAAATACGACTTGCAGAAATTTCTCATTTTCTTATTATTTGGGGGAGATTTAAAAAGTAAAATGTCATTTTTGTAGCGTGGTGAAGTGTTTAGTTTTTACCATTGTATGTGAATACTCTATGAGACAATACCATTTTTCCAAATGCGAGTTGGTTTCCTCTGCAATCAACGTTATGGTTTGGAAGTAGAACTAATTTCTTGTCCTTGGTTAAGTGGCCCTCTCTCTCTCTCATGTCATATATTGTCTCCACTTCTTTTATCTAGTTTGTGAATTAGCTATGATTTTCTGATGATTTATCTATGCAATAGCTGTTGAAGACGAGTTATATTTTATGGTGCAGCATGATTTTTTATTGAAGCGTTACTCTGTTCTAATTCTCGACGAGGCGCACGAGAGGAGTATGAACACTGATATATTAATTGGAATGCTGTCACGTGTTGTTAAGCTTCGTCAGGTAAAACCTAACCTTTATTGTTTGCAAGTATATGGAATTTTTTTTCTTTTAATTGTTTTTCCAACTTCATCTAACTTATCTTATTGCTCGATTCAGGATTTGCATGTGAAACAACGACAGATAATGCTTTCAGGAGGAGAAATTAGTCCTGAAGATATGATTTTTCCATTGAAATTGGTGCTTATGAGTGCTACCTTGCGAGTGGAAGATTTCATCTCTGGGGGAAGGTTGTTTCATGTTTCACCTCCCATTATAGAAGTTCCCACTAGACAATATCCAGTAACGGTACATTTCTCGAGGAGAACAGATACAGTTGATTATATTGGTCAAGCATATAAAAAAGTTCTGGCAATTCACAAAAAGCTTCCACCTGGAGGTATACTCGTCTTTGTTACTGGACAGAGAGAAGTTGAGAATATGTGCAAGAAGCTTCGGGAAGCCTCAAAGAAGTGGATTAAAAAAACATCTGAAAGAAATGTTGGAATTGACAATGGTGCTATTGAAATGAATTCAATTCAGAATTTAGATATGAAGGAGATTAATGAAGCATTTGAAGATCATGAATTTTCAGCTGGTGAGCAAACAGATCGATTTAGTTCTTGTGATAAGGACGAGTTGGATGTAAATGATGATGCGTCTGATGCTTCATACAATTCAGAAACAGATAGCGAGTTGGAATTTAGTGAAGATGATGCATTGTTTGATGAGGATGATGGCAACCTTACTGATGTTTTAAGAGAAGATGCAAGTATGGCTTCTCTCAAGGCAGCATTTGATGCCTTGGATGGAAAAGTTGCCTTTGATAAAATACAGGTTGATCACTCTACAAAAGGTGAATTACCAGCCAAACGTGTTAGTGCAAGAATGAAAGAAAATGGTGAACTTGGTTTCTTGGTTGGTGCATTGCATGTTCTTCCTCTCTATGCCATGCTTCCGGCAGCGGCTCAACTGCGTGTGTTTGAAGAAGTCAAGGAAAGAGACCGGCTTGTTGTTATTGCTACTAATGTTGCTGAAACTTCGTTGACTATCCCAGGCATAAAATATGTGGTGGACACGGGTAGAGAAAAGGTTAAAACATATAACTCCTCAAATGGGATTGAAAATTATGAAATACAATGGATTAGTAAGGCATCAGCTGCCCAACGTGCTGGAAGAGCTGGAAGGACAGGGCCTGGGCATTGTTATCGTCTCTATTCTTCTGCAGTTTTTAGTAATATATTCCCTGATTTTTCTCTCGCTGAAATAGCTAAAATACCAGTTGATGGTGTTGTCCTTCTTATGAAATCAATGGGTATCAGTAAGGTATGTGTAATGTGTTCTGAATTACTATATTTTCATCTTCACTTGATATTTAGTATCTTATTTTATTAAGTATATGGGTTGGTTGATCCTCGTAAGACGATATGTTTGTTTCTTATAGGTGGTCAATTTTCCATTTCCTACTCCTCCTGAGACCTCTGCGGTACTTGAGGCTGAGAGTTGCTTGAAGGCTCTTGAAGCTCTTGATAATGATGGGAGATTGACACCCTTGGGGAAGGCGATGGCTCGCTATCCTTTGAGTCCGCGCCACTCCAGGATGCTACTTACGGTTATTCAGATTATGAGAAACTTGAAAACTTATGATCGAGCAAATCTTGTTCTTGCATATTGTGTTGCGGCAGCTGCAGCTTTGAGCACGTCGAATCCTTTTGTCATGATGTTTGAAGGAAGTCAAATGAAGGATGATTTAGATCAATATGATAGATCTCTTGAACTTGCTGACACAAAAGCTGAAGAAAAAGTGGAAAAGTCATTGAAAAAGAAGCTAAAAGAAGCTGGCAAACTCTCCCGTGAAAAGTTTTCAAATCCTACTAGTGATGCTTTGACGATAGCTTATGCTTTGCAATGTTTTGAACTTTCTGAAAGTCCTGTGGCATTCTGCAACACCTACACATTACATCTAAAAACTATGCAAGAAATGTCCAAGTTGAGAAAGCAGCTATTACAACTTGTTTTCAATCACAGTGGTTCTGCTATTGCTGATTCAGACTTTTCATGGACTAATGGGACTTTGGAGGATGTTGAAGATGTCTGGAGGATCCCGTCCAATAAGCATCCTCTTTTACTGAACGAGGAAGAGATAATTGGCCAAGCAATCTGTGCAGGTTGGCCAGATAGGGTTGCCAAACGTATTAGAGAGATTTCTAAGTCAACTGAAGATGACAGAAAAGAACGCACTGGAAAGTATCAAGCTTGCATGGTAAAAGAAAATGTGTTCCTCAACCGACAGTCGTCTGTTTCTCGTTCAGCCCCAGAATTTTTGGTGTACAATGAATTATTGCGTACAAAACGACCATACATGCATGGATTGACTAGTGTAAAACCTAATTGGCTCGTGAAATATGCTAGTTCCTTGTGTACTTTTTCAGCACCTTTAACCGATCCTAGACCCTATTACGATCCTCAAAATGACACAGTATTTTCATGGGTTGCCCCTACATTTGGCCCTCATCTTTGGAAGCTTCCTTTACACAATGCCCCAATAAAAGATAATGCTCATGGAGTTGCAGTGTTTGCATGTGCTTTGCTTGAAGGGAATGTGTTGCCATGCTTAAAGTATGTGCGCAAGTTCCTGGCAGCTCCTCCCAGTAGTATCTTAAGGCCAGAGGCATTAGGCCAAAAAAGAGTGGGCAATCTTCTTTCTAGACTGAAGTCCAAGAAGATAACTAGTTGTGCCACGTTGAGAGTGGTTTGGAAGGATAATCCTTATGAACTCCATTCAGAAATTCTGGATTGGTTTCAAGAGAGTTATCACAGTCACTTTGAAGACCTTTGGTCACAAATGCTGTGTGAAGTACAAGAGCCCCCAGAACGTCTCTCCAGGAAGTTGAAAAGGGCCAAGAAAAAAATTTGATGACCGAATGTGCTTTGACAAAATGTTTAGAGAACTTGAAACCTGCTACTATTTATCTGTGTAGAAGATATGAGGACGAAGAAAAGATACAAACATCTTTTGTAAATTAGATATTCTATTTATACAAAATTTTGGTTCAAGGTTTGCCTTTTAGGTGAGGTGAGTTGTCTGTTCTGTTTTTCAGAGTTCAACAGGAGATGTTCTTATGTTTTTTAACCATAGTTGTTCACCCTCGTATAACAGGGTTCTAAAGTTTTGACTTGTATATATTTATTAGTGTTACTTGTGCCTCTCTCGTATACCAGTTGAGGTTAGAGTTCTGTTTTTAACTTTATTTCATTCTTTCTTAAGAAGATTGTGACTCTTGCTTCATGTCATACACTCTTTTGAAAAAGAAGAGATCTACAGAACAGCGACTGACTTTTAGTTAGTTTCTTCTTCCATTTACATGTGAATTTCTTCTCTATGTGTGGTTTTAGTTCTGTTTTATTATCTTGTTGACATTTTCCTATCTCATTAGCTCGATCTGCTAGTATCTGAAGCTCTGATGGAGTTGGTCCTGCACAGGGTATGTATTTCAACATGTTATAATTCTTTGTTCTTCATATCCTTTTCTTTTTCTAATTTTGTTCTCTGAAATTTTGTTGGATTTAAGGTTGACAATTTTATTTTTGAATTTGCAGGAAAAATCTAGCTTGAAATTTCCTTGGTCCAAAACTTGTTATAAAGAAGATGCTGTCAGTGGAATTCAGAGCACTAAAGGCTCCAGTCCTTTTGATTTCTCTCAAGGAAATGTGCTTCTAGTCCTAGGTGAAAAGTCGAGGCTTTTTCCTAAGGATGATCCTGGCGGCCCCATGTAGGTTGGCGTAGGCTACTACTCCTTTGGTTGATAGGTTTTACAAGGTTGGGATGACTTGCATTGGCAGGTTAGGGAGGAGGTTGAGAAACTAGGACAAGAGCTTTACAAGAAAACATGTGAGCCTTTAATAATGACCGAGACTCCTCCAATAGGGAATTGCTGGCACCTCTTGAAACTGGATGAGTAAGATAAAGGAATGCTCTGATATTAAAAAAGTTCTTGTGTTTGTTCTTTATGGGTCTTATTTGATCGGTTGAACATGTGATCTGATGTTTGAATTTCATACTGCAGAATCTGGAAAGTGAAGATCTACTCCATCTATTCTTTACAGTGATCTTTTTGGGTTGTCGTTCTTTTATTTGATATTGAAAAATGCGTTTAACATGATTGATTGGAATTTTCTTGATGATATTTTGAGTTCGGTTTTAGGATCAAATGAAGAGAATGGATTTGTTAGTCCATTCAAGAAAAAACATCTCGTTTGGCTGTCAAGGAGATCAAAACTGAGTTCATTGACACATTCTATCAAACATTACTGTTATTTTTTCTTTTTCTTTTACAGGATGGGTCGATTTCTCGAGTCCTTATTATATTCTTTCGAGTCTACCAAATGCAAAGATAGGAGATGGAAGTCTTCAACCTTAGAGAAGGTAACATGTTTATCAAGTACTGTTCTGAGTAATAATTTTGAGGCCTATAGTAACATTGTTTATCAAGTATTGTAATGAAGGATGATCTCGAGGCCTAGTTATAGTACATTGTTTTGGTAGTTCCATTTCCAAGAAATATTCAATTTTTTTCTGCCTCAAAAGGTACATTACTTGTGTATTTTATGTCATGGATAATCTGCAACTTACGTTTAGCAGTATTTTTATGTTAATTATCATTTTTATCGGTGATAATACTTTTTGCAAGCACTTCATATCCTAAACCCCAGCCTATTTATTGTGGCTTATTATTTTGAATCACATGAAAATTCATTTCAGAATGGTGGGGTCAAATGTGTCCACAAGGTTATTAGACAACATTGAGACACTAGTGCGACCTCTTATGCTATGCACTCCCCCAAGAAAAAGCTTGTCTGCTCGATGCCATACAAACGTTGCATCTGTAACATCGCAACGTTGTATCGATTTCCTTGAAGAAAGGATATTTTTTTTCTACTGGATTTTATACGGTGAAAATTTAAATTCGATGAGTGATTATTTTTGTGTATGTATTCATTATTTTGGTGCTTCAAAATAAGAATAGCAATGACGCTTTTTTAGAGATACTTGTATCGTGAGAGAGGAGCTCAGTGGATAAGAGGTAACTCAAAGCTCTATCCATTCTTAATCTCAGTCTCGAGAAGAAGATTAGATGTATAGTCCCAAGTTTGAACTAAACCAATAAAAATTTTAAGAAAGATTTGCTTCAGACTCCGAAAGGAAAATCATTTAGATCGTGTTAACTCCCTCTAGTTTATTGGAGACTTTTAATTCCGAAGAGGTTAGAAAGTTGCCATGTGGTTTGGGGATAGAGAAAGCTTCTGGCTTTTTCTTTGGACCAGTTTTATGTATTATTCTTTACTTGGCTCGTACACATTTGCAGCATCAATTGTGAATATCAATGGGAGAAATCTTTGCTTTCCTTTGAATCTCCATCTTAATCTTTTGTTGTTTCTCCTGAAACAAAGCTTTACTATGAGCCAACCTCTGTGGATGATCATGAACGGTCGACTTTTCGTTTGAAATACTGATAAACAAACTATTTATGTACGTATAATGGATTAAACAGGTATGAAATTGACGAAAATTGATGATTAATTTAGTCCTTATTATAATTGATTAGCGTAGGAATATGTTACTAGTTATTCAATTTGCTTGACATTGATTATAATGTCTAAATCATCCAAATGGTTGGTTGGCAATAATAAAGGTACTACATATCATAATGAGAAGATTGAAATATGTTTCCGAACAGCCCCACAAATGACTTCCTTCATTCATTGATTGAATCAATATGCACTCTTTAATTGATTTGACTCATAGGTTCATTGCTTTAAGATCATAATCTTTGACTTGATGAGTATCACTTATTAGATTATTAAAATTCGTTCTTTTCGAGTATATTCATAGTGGTTGAACTTTAAATTTGTGTTTATTTGTTCTTTGAACTTTCAAAAGTATTTCGAAGAATTTCGATCTTTCAATATTTTATTATTATGTATTTTACACTTTCAAATTTTTGATATATTTGAAATTTTTAAGAATTAATTTATATCTTTTAGATATAAATTTACTTACTTTGTGTTAAATGAAATTTTAAATT